GATTGTGGCCGGTCGGGGCCCTTTTGGGAGACCTCTTGGGGGCCTCTGGGGGCGTCTTGGCGGCCTCTTGGGCTGTCTTGGGTTCATGTTCAGCGTCTTGGATCGATTTTTGGGCGATCCAGAAACGTCTTGGCCCGTCTTGGCGGCTTCTTGGCAACGTCTGGGTCCGTTTTGGCCAACCGAACCCCGACCAACCGAACCCAATCTGTGGAAGACCCCCCCCCCCTACCCCGGCAGAGCCACCCCGGCCCACCCCCCCCTTCAACTCACACGCCGGATCGGCGAATTTTGCGACGTTGTATACTCGTAAACTTGTTGTTTCGTTTTCTTTGTCAGGAGCTTCTGTCTTGGAGCTGTGTGCGACGCACCTCGCCATGGGAGTGCCCCCTCCTTCCCCCCCCCTGCCTCGCGGCCGCCTTCGCCTGCCTCTGACCTCCTCCCGCCGTCGGTGAATTTTGCGCTTGCCGTTGCCCGGGCCGCCTGAGCGCGCGTGCGGACCGCCTCTGCCGCGCTGCGACGCAAAGAGTCTTGGGACCTGGAGCTGGTCCCGGAGGAGGAGGAGGAGGAGGAGGAGGAGGAGGAGGAGGAGGAGGGAGGATGATGATGATGATGATGATGATGATGATGATGATGATGATGATGATGATGATGATGATGATGATGATGATGATGATGATGATGATGATGATGATGATGATGATGAGATGATGATGATGATGATGAGATGATGATGATATGATGATGATGATGATGATGATGAGGATGATGATGATGATGATGATGGATGGGAGAAGGAGGAGGAGGAGGATGAGGAGAGGAGGAGGAGGAGGAGGAGGAGGATGAGGAGGAGGAGGAGAAGCAGGAGGAGGGCTTTCCCTCGGGGCCTGGCTCCCGGAGCTCTCCCTGGCAAAAGTGGGCCCCCCCTCGGCCGTCGGGCCCACCTAGGCTCGGCGCTCGCCCGGCAGCAAGTGCTCGGCCCCTCCTGCTCCTCCTCCTCCCCCTCCTCCAACTTCTTCTTCTCGTCCTCCTCCTCCTCCTCCTCCTCATCCTTCTCTTTCCTTCCTCCTCCTCCTCCTCCGATCCCGGCAGCAAGTTTTAACTCGGGCCTGTCCCTCTACAGGAGGAAAAGTCAAAAAGAGTCCAACAATAGTCTGGGGACTATGTTTTGACAATTTTTGGGCATTTTTAGGGTATTTTTTGGCTATTTCTCATTTTTCGTCCAAAATCGGCCTGTAGGGGGACAGGCCCGACTGAAAGCAAGTGCTTGGCCCCTCTCGAGTGGACAGCCGATCCCGCCCGGACGCTCCCAGCGAGGGCTCCCCTCGCCCCTGGCTGTCGGGCCATCCTCGGACGGGGCCAGGGCGGGGACGAATCCGTTCCAGAGCGTTCCGGAGCGCTCTGAGAAGGCCGTGGCGCCGGAGGCATCCTCCAGAGCTGCCCGATCTCAGAGATTCTCGAAGTATCCTCGCCCGATTCTGTCCTTGTCTGGGCTTCGTCTCACATAGGTCGGCTCCCCCGCTGCCGCTCGCGACGATCCGGGCACTCCCAGAATGCTTTCGGCGAAGCGCAGCCGCTGACCCCCCCCCCCCGAGGCCAGAAAGCCGCGGAGAACCGACGAAAGTGCCCCAGAACCTCGAGCCCTTGACGTGCTACCCTGCGGAACAGCTGCAACACCGCAGCGCTGCTTCCCCAGACCCAATCATGCTGCGGCACTCTTCGAGCTGGATCGATCTGTGGTGGCCCCGGGGCCCGAAACCGGGCGAAACGCCCGCTGCGAACACATTGCAACGCCTGGATCTCCGGGGCCTCCGATCCTCCGATCCGCCCCCCGCCGCTCCCGGCGAGGCCCCTCGTCCGGGAGGGCTCCGCCTGCCCTCCGGGCACCACGGACAGCCTGGCCGAGCTCGCGGGCGCGCTCGTGCTCAACGCCTCGGACATCATGGCCGACCGCGGGGGGGGCTGCGAGGAGGGACGGAGGGCGGGGGGGCCCGGGCATCCTCACGCCGCGTGGGAACTCAGAGGGGGCCCCCGCCGGGCTCGAGGACAGTGAACAAAAGCCGACTCGAGCTGAGCAGCCGGTCCCGGGGAAGGGGTCCAAGTTTCAGGGGAACCACGTCGCGACGATAATCACAATGTCGGATTTCTCTGGAGGAGGAGGAGGAGGAGGAGGAGGAGGAGGAGGAGGAGGAGGAGGCCCAGGAGGCAGGAGGAGGGGAGGAGGGAGGAGGAGGAGGAGTAGGAGGAGGAGGGAGGAGACAAGGAGTGAACCCAGGAGGAGAGGCATCAACGATTGGAGTCAGCCCTCCGTCCACGTTCCCTCTTCATAGGCACCTACAACGGGTCATTTCTACTGAGGGAACTCTCTCGTTGGAAGACAACCGTTTGAAGACCCTGAAGCATGCCAAAACATCGTTCTCGGTATTTCAACGCCACGGATCCACCTGAGTGTTGCGTCTTGACGATCCAGCATCGTGCCAGCACGACATTTCTGGGATTTCAACACCGCGAATCAATGTAACTGTTGCACCCTCATAATCCTGAGTCCTTCCAAAACACAATTTCTGTTACACTGGTCATGGGGATCCGTGAAACTCTTGCACATTTGAACAACGGAGGTGCGTGGCGGTAATGCGATAGCACCATTTGGAAAAGGAATGGCTCTCAATTTGTGAAACTCTTGCAAATGATTTTAAATCGAATGTGCGCGGCGCTAAGGCGAGGAAGTCTCAGGAGAACCGCCCAGCCCAGGTGCGACAGGGAGAAGTTATTTATAAGGAACAAGAATGGAGGAGGAGGAGGAGGAGTAGAAGGAGGACGGGGCGGGGAAGGGAAAGAGGGAGGAGGAGGATCATGGAGGGGGGTGTGGGAGGACCGTCTCCCAGCAGCTAGAGCTCGACTAGGCCTCTCAGAAGGCGGCGGTTCCACTGGCCCGATTGACCATGTGTTGGCCACGGCCTGGCCAGATGATAGTGGATACGCGTCATAGAAGGAGGAAGGGGTGGGAGAGAGGGAAACGAGGAAGATAGGGAAACGAGTGGTCGCTGTTCTCGAAAGAGCCCTGGCGGCTGGCAGTGGATCGGAGGATGTTTCACATACGTATTAAGGGTGTCATACGAACAGCTGCATTATTCTTTCATATGGAATTTGGACCAACGTTATAGGATCATATGCTACGGTTGCTTTGTGGCTTTCGGTTCATCCCTCGCTACCGTGTCTGGGTCGTGGACAACTCTGCGGGTGCCTCTTGGGGTCTCTTGTTAGAGGCTGCCCATGATCTTTTAGGCTTTTGTGGGCCTCTCGGGGACATCGCGGATGTCTCGTCAAGGCCGCTGGGATGCTCTTGGGTGCTTCTTGAGTTGGGGGACCTCTTCAGCGCCCGCTTGCGCTCTCGGGTGCCATCTTGGGGGAGACGGGCCGAAATACGAGCTCGCGTTCCCTCTCTGGGCCCGTCTTGGGGCCGTCTTGGGGGCCTCGAGGGCCCTCCTGGAGGCATCGAGGGCCGTCGTGGGGAGGTCTCGGGGGCGTTTCGGACTTTGTTTCAGTGCTTTGAGCGTCTTTGGCTGGTCCCGAGGGGCCTCCAAAATGGCCCAAGAGGCGCCCCAGGGCTCCAGGACGGACCCTGGGACCGCCAAAGGCCATGTTGAAAGTGTAGATTCGAGCCCCGCTCGCGAGGTCTTTCGAGAAAAGTCGTGCGGGCTGTCCCACGAGCGCCGGGAAGTGCCTGAGAGCGCCCGCGAGTCCGGGGCCTGGGTCCCTTGAACAATATTCACAATGTTCAAAGCAGAGGGCTCGAAGGGACTTGAGGACACTCCACTCAATGACGACGGAGGGCCGGGCATGGCACCTGATCCGTGGCCAGTGTTTCAGGGAAGTAGGGATTCCAAGCGTGCTCATCTCATGTTTCGGCCTGCGTTTCACTTCCCTCTTTACTTTGGTGCGTTGTTTTCCACATGTTGCTTTGTTGTGCGATCACTTGATCCTGAGTGCTACTCCGTGTCATTGCCGCAGCGTGCATAGCTTCTTTGCGACCGATGCAGCAGACAAAGTTCGCGATACAAGTGAGGATGTGGACGGTAAGGAGAACGAGAAGGAGGATAAGAAGGAGGATGAGGAGGATGAGGAGGAGGATGAGGAGAGGTGGGTCATGAGGAGGAGGGAGGAAGGGGGAGGAGGAGGAGGAGGGGAGGAACGCATCATGATGAGGAGGAAGATGATGAGGACGATGAGAAGGAGAAAGATAAAGCAGAGACATTGAATACGTATGGAAGATGAGTGTACTGTGATGATTCCTGTGGCGATGGCGACGATGGTGGTCATGACGACGATGATGATGATGATGCTCATGTGATGATGATGATGATGATGATGATGATGATGAGGAGGAGTAGGAGCAGGATGATAATGGTGACGATGGCGACGATGATGACGATGATGATGAGGAGGAGAAGGATTACGACGATTATAATGATGATGCGGGTGATTGTGTGGTGATGGTGATGGTGATTGTGATGGTGATGCTGATGATGACTGTGATGATGGTGATGATGATGATGATGACGATGACGATTGTGATTATGATGCCACTGCTGCTGATGATCATGACGATGACGATGATGACGATGCTGACGACGATAATGCTGATGCTGCTGCTGATGATGCTAATGCTTATGATGACAACGACGACAATGACCACGACGACAACGAGGATGACAAAGATGGTGCAGGTCATGCTAATGCTGCTGCTGCTTCTGATGATGAACGATGACGATGATGCTGATGATCACGATGAGGATGATGATGATTATGATGATGATGATGATGATGCTGCTGCTGCTGATGATGTTGACGATGACGATGACGATGATGATTAAGAGGATGAAAATGATGATGATGGTGATGATGCTGATGATTTAGACGACCAGGATTATGATGCTGCTTATGATTATGATCATGATGGCGATGATGCTGGCGATGCTGATGTTGATGCTGATGAGGATGGT